ACGTTACTTACCAGACTAATGAGAGAGGGTACAACGTCGCGTGACTGGCTTGCTACTATTATTTCTTCGCGTTCATGTGGGTAGTTTGGTGGGTGGATTGCCAATAAGTGTTCAGAAATTCATCATACGCACATGTCCTTTGCTGTGAAATTCATCTGGGACAATATTTTGTCCAACAAAAGTAGTTTGCGTACTCATGAGTTAAACAAGGGCCTACCACCTGTGCTTCAAATGAAAAAGCCAGATGACCGGTGTAATCACTCTAATGAAGAAAGACAATTGGTGATGAAGTGAGTCTGTGCTTGGCGGTTAAAGATTGATTCTCTAGTGTAACTTTTGGCTGGTGTCCTTGTGCACTCGTGGATTTTCCTTTGCAATGTGGGATTTTAACTTGCATTATTGTACAGTTGGTTCACTTTTCGTCTTTCTTAAATGAAAATGGCAGCTTACCTGGCAAAATGGACGTCTCTACTTTACAACCCCCATTTTTCGGGGTCTCGTTATTACTTTGGTGAGCACAATGCGATCATAACTGAAAGTCAGTGGTCAAGAATAAACAGAAAACAAATCCTAGTTGTTATAAAGTAAAGTTCCTTCAACATATTTTGGTTACTATAATATAATTCTGCACTGCTAATTAAGCATGACAAACATCAGTTGAGAGAAGATGGTTGTTGCTGATTAATTTAGCACTCCGAGACCTCTTTTGAACATCATTGAGTTAGTCACATTTTTGTTGTTGTAATTATTCTATTTTTAAAACTAAGATAGATTGCATAGCAAGCACATGTGGTCCTGTCATGCATATAAATAGGTGTGATTTTTGGGGGGGGGGGGGGCGTTGTTTGAACAAGGAACAAGTCTAGAAAGGTGGCGAGAGGATGGGTGTGTTGCTGCTTCACAGATTGCAAGCTGTGGCATCACACCATTACATCAGCATGGCAGCCTCTGTCTCAGTCTCACCTTCCTCCCCAGTTCCTCCACTCAGACACCGACACCCTGCCTGTCTCACGCTGGGTCTTAATGCCCTCCCTGCACTGGGTGGTATGGAAATGCCAGATGAATATTTCATGGTACTTCTTTTTTTAGATGCCAGGCATGATGCCTCCCATGATGCCAGGGATGATGATGCCCCCTCGCATGCCATCTGCGGCTGTACAGCCAACGGGACCGGTAACTCTCCTCCCTCCTTATTCCATCAGTGCTCTGTTTCACACTTCTTCAAAATACACTACAATGTGTGAAACACTCAGCGTATCATCTGCTCCGCCAAGTTGGACATGAATTGATGTCATTCCTTAAAATGAGAGAACAAAATTGCATAAAGTAGCTGATAAAAATTCAAATGAACACCTGCGTACAATATGTTCCTTGCTGTCACTTTTAGTTTTGGCTTTGGTTTCGTTGTGACTTACTAAACATAATAAAACACACGTAAATGTTTCTGATGGGTTAACAATTTATGTAAATGAGCAATCTGATTTATTTATTGTGACAACATCCAGGCCATTTTAGAGATTGTAAGACATCTACTTGATCATCACAATTATATATTCGCATCTCGAGGGTGTGGAGTTTCGTTCTAATTATGAAAGATTAGTCAGTCGCCGTGAATTGTGAATGATGACTCTGCTATCCCATCCGAATTCATCATTCAGTGTTGGAGACGCGTCGATGCCAACTTCTAGTTTTGTGAGTGTTTCTTGGAGAAATAATCCACTAATTAAAATGGTTTTTTCCACAGCCTGGTGTTGACTCCGCAGGTAAGCTCCTTCTTGTGTCACTTTACCTAGAATTCATTTTCTTGCGGATGTTGCCTTCATTAAAAAGAAACAGCGTCTGACGTATCTATTTATTTGTATCCTCACAGCTGCTGCACCTGGAACAGCTGTAAGTGCAACATCGTTTTAACAATTCAGATGTATTTATAGTAATCATTACTTCCAGTCTAACATTTGTAATCACTTATTTTGTCCCTGCAGAGTACCACAAATGGATCTCCACATGAAGATCAGCTAAAGAAGGTTTGCGCAAATATATAAGAGACAGAGATATAAAAAAAAACAATTGACCAATATTAGGTTGGGCCTGCTTTGTTTCTTTTTGTAACACTGAAGCACTGACTTATTTATTGTGTTTGTCCCTGTCAGAAGTCCCTGTGGACAGAACACAAATCTCTGGATGGGAAGACCTATTTTTACAATACAGAAACCAAGCAGTCCACATGGGAGAAACCGGAAGATCTCAAATCTCCTGCAGAGGTACAAACACGCTTCACTTGCACAACACCAATAACATCTTTTAATGTTCCTCCGAGAACCTTTTGTTTACTCTCTTTCATTCACATAATGTTTTACAGATTGAAATCCTATCTGTCTATTTGTTGGCAACTCTGTACATTTATGATAATTCATTTAAATGTACTTCCAGAATCAGAGACATTTCATTAGATTCCACATGTCTATTGTAATAAAATGTTTATAGAAGAACTTATGGATCACAGCATCACACTAGTTATCTCTGTGCTTTGTAACATACCTCAAATAAGTTTCTTCTGTTTTGTCCTCTTTTAGCAAATGCTGTCTAAATGCCCCTGGAAGGAGTACAAGTCGGACGTAGGGAAGCCTTACTATTACAACTCTCAGACGAAGGAGTCCAGATGGACCAAACCCAAAGACCTGGAGGATCTGGAAGGTAAAGAGCGGCTCTCTGATGTCAACCCTGTAGTTAGAGAGGCAGTGACCTGATGAATGGTTGTTAGGCGAATATCCCATTTATAGGGGGTGTGGGCATCATTGATGTACAGACACAGGAAGCACACATACAGGGCATTTCCCTTTATCTGCAGTACACTTTGAAATGAAACAAGTACCCTAACAGCTTTCTCCTTTTGTCTGTTCCAGCTATGATCAAAGCAGAGGAGAATGGGTAAGCACTTCCTGTTTACCACTGGTTACTCCTTACTGCTGCTACACTATGTATTATATACAACAAATACAGCGGTTATTGAACTTTATTTCTCCCTCTACAATATTAAACATTTAAATGGATTATTAATACGATTTCTATTCTCATGTAGTATATGCCCGTCAGCTATTTTGTCCTGCTCCGCTTCCCATCATGTGGTGTGGATTGACCCTTTGTGGTGTGATTTCAGCACGGCAGAGGCCATGGCTCCTGGCACCACAGCAACTCCTGCAGATAATGCAGCCGCTATGGCAACCATAATGGAGGCGGAAGCTGCAACAGCGGTCTCAGAGGAGCTATTGGCTCAGGTTGCCATGCATCAAACAGCTGAGGTCAAGACTTCAGACGCACCTGTGGCTCCCTCTGAGCTCTCCGCCACCACAGAGCTCACAGCCAGGTAAAGAGACGGATACTGTCTCCAGCACTCAGACACCATAATCATCAAGTCAAACCCAGACACATAATGGCTCTTGCTTTATGTGCACAGCACTCTTTCCACGTAATGGAGTCATGGATGAGCAGGTCTATTTCTGTGGCTCATAAATCCATTCAACCCATTGTGATGAATGCGTAAAGTCTTAAATGCTTGATGCAAACACGTCTGAGTTAATGCATTAACATCTGCTTTTGCACTCAGCGTTGAAGTCATAAAAGAAGAACGACCAGAGCTTCAGAAGAAAACGTACAAATGGAACACGAAAGAGGAAGCCAAGCAGGCGTTCAAAGAGCTGCTGAAGGAGAAGGTGAGTCCGGCCGTCACATGGGGGAGAGCCAAAGGCCACGCAGTGACCGTGTAGAGGAGAAATGCAGTGTGGGGGTGGGTACCTGCAGTGGGAAGGACACAAACACCCATTTCTTAAAGAAATAAGAGATTTTTATCTGGAAGGCTTGTTTTTAAGGTTCTTTTTGATCTCGTCAGTCTCTCCACGCCTGGTGTGTTTACCAGCACATACTAGACAGTTTTATCTAGATCTAATCCCTGTGCCCCCCCCCATGAGCCCTTGGGAGGTCTCCGCTCAGTTGTTAAGCCCCCCCCTCCTGTTGCTGTGGATGTGTTGTGCAGCAAGGTGGCCTAGCACCACCTACCTCCCAACGCTGCTATATTTAGGCTCTTTTTCATTTTGTGCACAAAGCTCTCCTCTTTGCTGCCATTTCCTTCAAGATGGTAATGGCTCTGTCTTTGTGATTAGATTTATTGGATCAAAGGCAAGGGGCTGGCTGGGTTAGGGTTAGACAGTGAGAGAAGGTGGCATGCCTGAGTGCGTTAGAATTAGGCCTGCACGATATTGGAAAAAACTGACATTGCGATTTTGTTCCCCCTGCGATATGAAAACATACAGGAATTGAAGAAAAGACTGTTTTTTTCCCCGCAGACCATCCTTTCTTGAACTTTAATGCTATACAATTGGTCTTTTTTTTAACAATATTTAACCGGATGAAGGATTTTAGTCACGGACGTCTGGATCTTAAGTTATCAGAGCAACAAGCTGAGCTAGCTCGGTTAGCAGCGCCGAACTGGCCCTAGAGAAACACATGAAACTACTTTATTCAGTGTTTTTACCTTTAATCACGGGGTCCGTTTGCTTTGGAGATTTGATTGTGATTGGTGGTTTGCTGTGCATGCAGAGCCTGCATGTCACTCACTCAAGTACCCCTGACCTGAGAGCCACGCAAGTTTTCCTTTTGTAGCAAGGAGCAAAATAATTGTAACATGACGTGTTTGAGTTAATTTGCCTACTTAATCTCGCAAGTCCTAAAAAAAAATGTGGACTGCGTCCTGCGATGTGAATATCACGCATATCGCGATTATCGTCACGACACAGTATATCGTGCAGCCCTAGTTAGAATAACTGTGGCAATTTTACAAGACAGAGGCGTGCGCTGGAATCAGTTGATTATGGATGGAGTCGCTCCCTGAGAGGCAAGAGGCAGGAAAGGCCCTCACACAAGTCCTGTGGCACTTTGAATGATTGCCTCTCTACACCTCTTAACCAGCCATCTATTAGTCATTAAGGAAATGTGTTGACCGCCATGAGATGAAGCAGCTGATTGTTCCTCTGCCTGCCCTACTTTCTTCTTCTAACAAAGGGCAATTCAAAAGTTTTCCCCTTTTGTCGTTTGAATATGTTGGGAATGTAACATGTTGCCAGTTTAAGAGTAAGGGTCATCACGATCTTGAGTTGTCCTCTCTGTTTTTCAGGGTGTGTCCTCAAACTCCTCCTGGGAACAGGCTATGAAAATGATTATCAATGATCCTCGCTACAGGTACACTTTTCTCCTGGGACCAGTTCATGCTGTTTACAAAAGCAGGCGATAACACAAGGCCAATCTGACCTTAAAATCTCCCTTTTCTTGTCAAAGCGCACTTCCCAAACTGAGTGAGAAGAAACAGGCGTTCAATGCCTACAAAGTCCAAACGGAGAAGGAAGAGAAGGAAGAGGCCAGGATTAAATACAAGGAGTCCAAAGAGACCTTCCAGAGGTTCTTGGAGAACCACGACAAGATGACTTCCACCACCAGATACAAGTAAGGACTGCCATGATCTCACTGAGGGGTTTTCTCTATTGATTAGTGGTTGGCTGGATGGTCTCTATGATTATGCAGATGGATCGGTGAAAGGTCAAATATGGGTCCTCCATCACGCAGTTACAGCACGCTTCCTCTTTAAATGCTTTGACCCGTTAGCTATTGTCACGCTGTTTACATTACATAACGTTGCTCATTTAGAAAGTGGACTTAATGAACACTGTGATTTGTTGATGTTGGGGCTAACGGTCTTTCCCAGTGAATTACAGACATACAGGCAACGGAGAGGTTTCATCTACAAGTGTGTGTGTGTGTGTGTGTGTGTGTGTGTGTGTGTGTGTGTGTGTGTGTGTGTGTGTGTGTGTGTGTGTGTGTGTGTGTGTGTGACACCATCAAGTCTCAGCGCACATCCTCAAAGAGTCCTATTTTCTTATTTGCATCCAACTCATTCTAACCGTGTCCATCTTCAGGCCTGCACTGCATCAAACAGACGTGTTCATTTGGCCTGTGAAATGCTGCCCTCGTGTGGTTGATTGTTTGTGTGTCTGCTATCTAGGAAAGCAGAACAGATGTTCAATGAGCAGGAGGTGTGGAGCTGCGTACCGGAGAGAGACAGGCTGGAGATCTACGAAGACGTTCTGTTCTACCTCGCTAAGAAGGAGAAGGTGAGTCTGAAGACACCTTCATGTTCATCATAATGTTGTACTATTATTCCTTATTATTCGGGGCTTTGTAAACAATGGCACCATTAACATCCTGGTTCTCTCTACAACATGTTTCCAGGAGCAAGCCAAGCAGTTGAGAAAGAGAAACTGGGAAGCTCTGAAGAACATTCTAGACAACATGGCCAACGTGACATACAGCACCACCTGGTCGGAGGCGCAGCAGTACCTGCTGGACAACCCCACCTTCGCTGAGGACGAGGAGCTGCAGAGTACGAGAGCACAAATACAAATCTTTATTTAGCGACTGAGAGTGTAGAGCTTTCTATCTCACTTTATTTAAAATCACCACAGTTCTCTTGGCTCCGTGTTTAAACTTCTCCCAGTTGTCCCTGCTGACGGTGTGCTTCCCCCCTGACAGATATGGACAAAGAGGACGCCCTCATTTGTTTTGAGGAGCACATCCGGGCGCTGGAGAAGGAGGAAGAGGAGGAGAAACAGAAAACTCTTCTCAGGGAGAGGAGACGACAGCGCAAGAACAGAGAGTCTTTCCAGGTGAGGGGGAATCGAGGGTCAACAGCTGAGCAACTTAACGCTCTCTCAAACTGACAGTCAGTGAGTCAGAGAAGTGCATGCTTCGTGTCCTTCATTCACACGGTGCGCTGCCAAACGTTTGGAAACAGGCTGATGCTCGGCTGCCTGTAACTTGTGTTCATCCAAACAACTCTGCACTGACTCAGATATATTCACTGTCCTCAGAGCTGTTCATAGCACGCTGTTCAGCAGTGGACGCGTTTTATAGGGGACACTAATCACTAAAGTTCAGTCGCTGTCAGGCACCAACCCTCAGGTCTTAAAAGTGAATCCAATGAAAAACTGCCTTAAACCTTCCCCACTCAACTTCTCCCTGGATATAGTACTTCAGTTAACATTTTCCTAATGACTTTATGGTCTCAATCGTTAGCTTCGAGTCTTTTTGAAATGTTCATTTTATAAATGATGGCCCCATTTAGGGTGAACAGGTAGTATCGCCCGCTGCCGAGAAATGTACAGAAAGAGACTCCTTCTATTTCATTTAGATGTTACATTTCTCACGTGCAAACGTTCATAATTGCTTCAATCTTACATAGTAGTGTATTCTGTTGCTGTTTAAGATCAATAATAATAATAATAATCTAAATCCACCTCACAGAATGGACCCTTCCCGTCTGTACCTGCATTCTCTTTCATTTGCTGTCTTGAATTTACATGTTGTTGTTTTCTCTCAGAAATTCCTGGACGAGCTCCACGACCACGGTCATCTCCACTCCATGTCCGCCTGGATGGAGATGTACCCGACCCTGAGCTCTGACATCCGCTTCGCCAACATGCTGGGCCAGCCCGGTAGGACACACGGACACACACACACACACACACACACACACACACACACACACACACACACACACACACACACACACACAGCATGTAAATACTGTATGAACACTACAGTGGATTGTTATTTTCATTCAGTTCACATTTGTTTTTATATTTCAACACAAAACCAAACCATGCACACACACATTCCTGTTTAGTGAGACTCCCCCTCTGTCCTGCAGGCTCCACTCCCCTAGATCTGTTCAAATTCTATGTGGAAGACTTAAAGGCGCGCTACCATGACGAGAAGAGGATCATCAAAGATATTCTGAAGGTAAGATCGGTGTGCCTCTTTATATCTGTCCCCTTCACATCCGCTCACATCAGGGTTTCTGTTGAGAGATTTTGTTATTTTCGGTCCTACAACCTGCTCATGTCCCTCTTCCTTTGCGCTGCCAGGACAAAGGCTTCCTGGTGGAGGTGAACACCAGCTTCGAGGACTTTGGCTCCGTCATCAGCTCAGACAAGAGAGCCACCACGCTGGACGCAGGGAACATCAAGCTGGCTTTCAACAGTGTAAGACTGACATGTTTCTCCTGTAGCTCCTTAAAGGTCACCTATTATGCTAAATCCACTTCTTCATGTATTTTATACATAAACATGTGTCCCCTCTGCGTAAAGAGATTCTGAAAGTTTCAGACGGAAAGATTCCCTCTCTTTTTGTCCTGATCCATTTCTATAAAAGCCTGTCTGAAAATGAGCTGATCAGATTTTTGCTACTTTATGATGTCATAATGATTTTTTGGCTTGTGCAACGATTAGCCAATCACCAACCAAGGTAACCCCACCCCCCCGATCTGATCACCTGAATCTCCTCCTAGAGCACTATTGTGTTATTTTTAACCAAATATCTCTCAGAGGGGCGTGGGGAGGGTCTCCTTATTTTTCATCTAAAGTAACAGACCCAGAATCAGCACTTTTGAAACAGGGCTGAAACAGAGGGGATTATGGGATGCTGCAATGCACGATCTGTTTGGAGCCAAACACTTCAGTTGTTTTGTATACATCTGAGACCTATAACATATTGATGAAAAACAGTTTAATAGGGGACCTTTAAGAAGAACCCAGAGGCTGGTAAACAATTACATTTACAGGAAAAGTATTGAACAACTTATCGTAAAAATGTTTTATTTTATTTCACGAAAAGCTTAATATTTCATCTTTAGCATGGGTTACCTCTGTCTTTGGATGTGATGCTTAAAACTCATACCACACAGTAAAAACATAACCTCAGCTACAACAGTGCTGACTGTGGACACAAGCTCAATCAAAAGACTCTATCTGATTCCAAAATGGTGAAGAAGATGACTTTGGGGAGAAAAAAGCAAGAGGCACTGGTGAAAGACGTCCTGGCCCCGAAGGCAGTGGGTGATGTTCTCAAGATCTTAACATCACCACCCCTCCCATTCTCCATACAGACCGATGCTTCCAATAAAGGGAACAGGAAGATGTTTCCCCTTGCTGTCCAGTACTTCACTCCAGAGTCTGGTGTCACCAACAAAATGCTGGACTTCATAGAGAATCCAGATGAGTCAGCTGCTGGGATTGTAGCTCTCCTGGAACAATCCCTTGAGTAAATTTG